TAGCCCATTCTGATTGAAAACATAAAATAGCGGCACTCTCAGTCAACTTATCGAATGGCGGGACGAAATCATGAAAGAATAATCAATGATATCCCATAGGCGTACAGGACAGATGTTAGTTTGTCCTTGTTCTTGAGGATGTGATTGATTAGATGTGAAGATAAACGAAACAGCCCGAGATTTTCTCAGTTCGCTATCGTGGGCGGGAGGACTAACATCGATTGAAGGTTGACACACCCATGTCAACACAGAGATGAGTAACAAGGGGAATGTGGGAAAGGAAATACGGGTATCGAGAGACTCGGCAGTTGTGGCCCAGTGGTAACGCCACCAAATCCTCACCCCGGAGGACGTGTTCGAATCCCACCATTATAGCTTGAATTTCCCCTTATGTGTATTGTGATAACGCGCATTCCTTAAAAAATTGTATTTTTATATACTCAATAAGATAGATTAAAAATAAAAATAATAAGAATAAGAGATCAAATGAATAACGGCAAACTGTGTGATAGCCTTCTCATTATATGGGACGATACGTGGTGAAGATGTGACGCATGTATGTGTCAGAAATCAGATCACATGTTTTGATGCCGCAGAAAGTATCCTTTAATTGTTGAAAACAATCAGGATGGAATAATTTTGGGAAATGTTCACTTTCGCTTTATGCGACACGGAAGCCAAAAGCGTAATCTTGTTTTATTCAAGCGTAAAATCTTTTTCACAAACTAACTTTGTACGCAATTAAAAAAAAACCGTGCTGGTTAAAGTTTAGCCTGATCTTTAACAGGACTGTTAATATGGAATTATCCTAATGTGATAATTATTGATTTGAGATCTTTAGTTTTTAATCATGTTATTTGAGGGCCGATCTAGATTCCGTGATCGAGCAACCGACCCAAAGTAACGCGCAGATTGAGCACGAAACCAAGTAGCACCTTCGGCAAAACATAAATATCAGGGTTTTGTCATACCTGGATGCGACACTTTACGAAGAACGCTGCTTTCAAGTTGCTGTTTGCTTGATCTCCTTGGTTTATAAATCAGTTATATTTGTTTCCTTTTACAGTTTGTATCATTGGTTTTCATTTAAATTGGAGGAACGATGAGGCTAACAAATTGTTCCATGGATTTGGCAAGGCCAGATTATAATTTTTTATCCAAAAATTATGCAGTCAGCATGAATACCTGTCATGGGATCACACTCATTATTCAGTTCGTACAACCATTACCATGCACCTTCGTGCATCGGTCGCTCGTTTTGAATAACGGTAGGAGTAAGAGAGGAAAGTTGAGTGGGACAACAAATGGAGAATTTTAGTCAGAATGTCAGATCGAACAACGTTCGGAGTGTATCGAAAAATCGATACACCATGTGATATGTTTTATATAATTTGTAATTTTGAAAACACAGCAATGTCGGTACATGTGAAAATAATTCAACGTTTCGGTTACTGTGCTTAACCTTTGTCAAGGCGATTTTACAATCGAATTTTAGTGTTCCAGGATTGTAAAGAAATTGAGATGTGCCAATGCAGATAAACTATCAGCTGCACAGTGTTGACATTTTCAATGGAGCCACATTGCGCTCGTTCAAATTATACAGATTTTGAAGTTAACTAGTATTATTAAATTTTCCTCTTAGACGTTTCACAACTATCAAATCAAACACATGAGGAATCACAAAACTTCAACTTTTATGTTATTTACCACTTACATCTGTTACTCCGTGTCTCATTGTGATGAATATGTTACATTCGAATTGCTTTTACTCAATCAGAAGCTACATTTCCCATCCCGATTTTTTGAGTCTATAGCCTTTCCATGCAGAACTGGTAACTTATCACAGGTTCACTTTTGCTACCCTTTACGTAAAGGTAAGCATTTCCACCTCTGTTGTCAGTATCCCAAACGATCACTGTCTGATACCATAAACTGTTCACATATGAAGAGCTTTAGACCGTATCTGCTCAAAGAAACCAATCCGAAATTGTGTTCCTTGTTGCTGAGACACAAACGTACATGAATAGTACTGTTCCTGTAGACTGTACACACCGCAGCTGATTGGTTCAAATTTATCTGTAAACTGAATTATTTCGATTTGCAGTGCACATTCTATTTACAGCTACTTGTAGCTACTTGTATGAGATAAACGCTGGGGATTGGAGCAGAGTATCCTTCGGAGACTTCGCGTTCTTACAAAATGCTCAGATGATCCAGTGAAACATGCACAAAGGATTAACTGGGGATTGCGCATAAAGAAACAGTCCCCGAACGATGGTAAGTTCAAACAAATAACATTTATTATGTACCACTACTCACAATCAAATGTGAGTTAAAAGATATGGCCTAGCACGTTTCACCGGGATAGTACACCCAAACGTGTGAGACAGACCTAACTTGGATGGATGCTCCCAAATGGAGTTGACAAAAAGTAGATTTTGTCTCCTTTTGCTACAAAAATGAGTGATTGACCACCTCTGAAGATAACATTTGAACAATTATCAATTGGTAATTGTGGTTAGTCCTTTCTTAATGGTTCTCTACAGTACGTTATGCAATTCATTTCCGCATGTCCAAATGCCACATTCAATCATCAAAAATGGTTTGATTTGAACAACCTATCAATATCTCACATTAGTTTGAGCTTGCTCAGGGTTCGCCGTGTTGTGTACTGATAGGGAGGTAATTTGGAGGCATTGAGTTCCCTTTATTCATTTCGCCAATACAGAAAGAGGACAATTGTCACGAGGTGGTAACATTTCGTTTAATATTCTCCATTGATAACTGAAAACAAAATATCTCATGACAGCAAGACACACAGATCACTCCAAGTCGTCTTTCAAACCACACTTACGTAACCGCAATGAGGGGAGCGCTGCTTATTTGATTGCATCACCCGACCGTATGCGTACAAAAGCTGTTGATACCATCACTCCATTTAGCGTGAAATTGAGATTCTAATTTTATATTTAGTAATTCTTGTCTGTTTGTGCATATTTGTTCACCATCATTGATCAACTGCATGTGCTACCTACGTCTCTTTTGTGATTGAGAAGATTAAACGAAATGTTAGGATCTCGCGATATTTGTCTTCTTTCTATATTGATGGGGTAATTTCAACATAATCTTACATTGTATTAGTGCGTTAAAGATATTCAATTCAAGCTTACCAGATAAAAAATTTGGGACATATAAACTGATAAAGCTTTTTGCACCTCAGAGTTGTTTTTATATTTCTGATTTTAGGGCACGCGTGATACGGTTGCAGTGTTCTAGATTATTCGGAATAATAAATGAAGTCAAGTGAAGTACAAAAATTTGGTATTCACGTTACTGATAAAGTTTCAGTTTTGAGATTTTGTAGACTTCCGTAATCTGTCTGATTGAGGGACCAGACGTAGCACGATTAACGAATCTCTGCCATAAAACCGATTAAAAAATATGATATGCAATACAGCGATTGAGGTCTAACGGAGAACTGACTTGATGAAAACTGAGACAATACAGCCCAAATAAGACTGAGTTGCGCCAGTTACTAATCCCGCGTGAATTGTGCACAGTACCTACCGGGCAACGCTTTAGTTGACGCTGTACTTAAAATACGTGTATCAGATCACCTTTTAAGGGTTTCTTCAATTAAGAAGCAATCACTTGCCTGGGTGTTTAAGTTTAGCCGGTAATCTTCGTATCTCTGATGTGCCAGTGGAGATGTAGCATTGAGCAGGAGCTCGCAGATCTAAATCATCTGGCTCACTTTCTTCGCTTCATCATTCACATTGCTAGACACTTTTCTTTCCACCGTGCCAAACGGTTAGTGATAAAAGTCAGTCAAATGCTGTAACATGACCACCATACACGATCGTGCAAAAGTCCCCGGGTTTCCCAAAATGAACAGAAAAAGCGTTAATCCACTTGTTTTGTGGTGATCATTCTTTGGGGGTAAATTACTTGTATGCTCACCGTGAACCCGGACCTCTGTGAAGAATGTCCACAGAAGATTGCGACCAAATGGATTGCATTCTATGAACTATGAGAAGAGATTACGATCATTGGGAGAATATTCTGCTCATTATCATCGAATTCGGGGAGACTTGATTTTGACGTATCAAATACTGCAAAACCCAAACTATCCATGTCGGCAGCTGCTCATGTTATCAAACAATGCACACCTTAGGGGACACCATTTTAAGTTACTGATTCCAAAGTGCCAACTGGAATGCCGTCGGCAATCTTTAACAGTCAGAATATGCAGCACTTGGAACACTCTTTCATCTCACGCCGTTTGTGCGCCAACTAGTGAATCTTTCAAGCGAAGACTCAATGAAATCATGGTATACCTCACATTCCCACACAACTAAAAATAAATGCAAACTCGTTAAAGATTATATTTTCTGTTATCTATTACTTGAAACTGTATGTTATTTTCTCTCGCCAAGAAACGATTCAACTGTGAAAACATCATATGGGGACAAGATAAGCATGACCTCGTAAGTAATTCCCGTAATAAAACTTTGACCTTGACATCAAATTACCATGTGAACGAAAAAAGCGAAAAAAACCCGTTTGCTGCATTATTTTTTCGCGAACTACAAAATCTGTTTAAAACTGAATAACTTAAGGGAATAAAAAAGAAAGCTTAAACGTTTATTGGTTTGTACATCGAAAATCTGTGACCCACGTCAGTCTAATAATTTCTTTTTTACCAAAAGATGAACCATGTTACTCAAACAGTATGTGAGAGAGAATAAACAAGTTCTCACTGAGAGGTATACCAAAATGAAAATTCGAGGTGTCAATAATCGGTTTAAATAAATGTGCCTGAAACAAATGTTCATCTGTACACGTCACGTGAATACGAAGAGCAATTCATATAAGTTTGCTCTGAATAGTTATTTTTTGAATAAGCAACTCACATTAGGGACGGGGGTAAAGCTTATCAACATCTTGGCTTCCGATTTGTTAATAGTAAATTAGTGAACAATAAAGTTGTATTGACTGAATTAGGAGAATATCGGCGAATAAGATCCGTTCGGAACTAGATGGGGATGTTGTGTTTCACTGTGTCCATTAACGTAATGTAAAATGTCTGCATTTTGAACTTGACCGTCATCTATCTCATGCTCGTTCTCTTCCGCATCCGTATGACTTGGTTTTTGACTGTGCGGGTCTTGTGAGTGGGACAATGTTTTGCGACTTGGTGCTGAGTGCGAATTCTGTTCGTTCGGAGATCCATGTGGAGTGGAGTAGATTGAGGAATCTCCTATCATGCTAGTCAAATGTCGAGGTGGCGGAGGAAGTGGTGGAGGTGATGGGTGTGATGGCCAATATGTGCAATGTGAATTGGGTGAACTCGGAGTGGGAGGATGTTGGTACTGGACTGGTTCTTGTCTGATGCGGCACGGGTGTCTTGATCGAGGTGAATAGGTCAACAGCACTGTGGAGCTTCTGGGCTCATTGTATGAGAGCTGATTGGGATGAAGTTGTAAGCTAGCCGGCTCACAATGGCCACGGCGACTAGACAATCTTGCAGCCAGGGGGGACGGATATGGTGACGGATTTGAATGACATGACCTGGCTTCCAGGGGACGCATCATTGGATAGCGTCTAACAGGGCGTGATTGAATAGGATGAATAGACTCCGACAAAGTATGAGAAGTTGGCAACGGTGAAATATTCTGACTGGTCTGCCCATCGTCTGATGGACTGGGAACGGCAATCAGTGTACGTGCTTTCTGAAGTTGATTTTGGGCTATATGGGACCTGATTGCCGCGGGAGAGCGCAAAGCCGTTGCGGTTGACTTCATTCCACCCGAATAGTCACATTCTTCCTCCTCTTGCTCTCCGCAGCCCTCGTCTAGATTTCCGTCTTCCGCATCCACCTCGTCGTTGTGTTCACTAGTGCAAGATTCCTCCCGTGTTTCTCGCTCCGGCAAATGGTAAACAGGTTCGCACAAGCGTATAAACAGTAAGAGAAGCTGTGAGGATAGATCACCAAGAAGAACGACGAGTTCAATCCATAGCCAACCGATTTGTTTTGGCCAGGCATTCCTGTCCAACAAATGAAACGATCCGCTTTGGTCGGTATTCAACAAACAGTTGAGTCGGTGCACGGTCATAACGGTTGTATGAGGAAGCCACGAGATAACATAGACTATTCCCAAGGCCAAAGTTAGAAGTGAATCTCTTTTCAAACAAGTGAGACAGTAAGCGGCAAGACGTTCATGAGCAACCAAGGAATACCGATCCACTTGGGTCTGTTCGGATGCCAATGCACGAGATAGCAATCTGCCAGACATCCAAATTTTCGTGATCAGAAGCATCACACTTGCTAAGAGTAGGCAACCGGGTATGACAAAGCTGATAATAGCCAATCCGTATTCATACAACGCTCGGCCGGTTCGATTGGTGAGTTGCCATACGATCCACTTGCGTTGTCTCAGAGCATTATCATTATCCATTGCATTGTCCTTGTCCAACCTGGTCAACTGATAGGTCCACAATTGCGGTAAACAAACACCCAACGCCAAGCAGATCAGAAATGCAGTGGTGATGCANATGCATGTTTGACCGACTGAACAAGATGTTTCGCTTGGCATCGGTAGTCCACCGGAGCAGCAGCTTCCTCGTTCTGCATGTTCCCGTTTCACATGCCACTGTGTGTGACCTTCTCTTTGTGACCAACAACATAAGGCCTCCTCCGGATCGTGGCAAGTTTCGTGACTCAGACATTCTGAACAATTTGTTTCATGAAACCACACACAAGTCCTTTTGTAGATCTTTCCAAAACAATTTAGGGAACCTTTTGCTGGTACACTGTTAGCTCCCTCTTGGAAATGTTGATGATCACGTCTCCCCAAGTCATGTTTTGTACCCATGGACAGTAAATTCATAGGACAGAAACCATTGTGACAATCCAAAGCACTGAGCTCGTGAATCGTTCTCACATATGATTGAACTCTAGCACTGGCCGGATTTTGAATCAATCGATTGAGGATACATATTCTATCGGTCATTATTCCCAGGGTTATCCAAATCAAAGTGAGGCGCAAAACTGCTTGCATTGTGAGTATGGCTGGCAGTTGAGTAGCAAACTGAGTGTGTGGCACTGGGCGCGTAGAACTGCCGTGTGAAATCACGGTTTGATTATTTGACACGTGCTTCTCTGTCGAACGCAGTGATGCTGAGTCCTGATCTGCGTAGGGTGACATAGGTATGTATCGCATAAGGCACCCGGCCCAAGTGAGTGTTGCGGTGATCAGCGCGAGAACAAAGAATACCATAAGCGAATGAGATTGACGTGTGACGTATGGTCGACTGGCCAACGTTTTGCGGGGACACATATAATTTTTGGCCTCGTGTACAATATTAACCAAGGCAATTAATATGGTAAGCACTGGTAGTAAGGGAAAGGCGAAATACAGCACGATCTGTAAAGTTTCATTTGGTACAGGTTTTATCACTTGGCTGTTCACAGATGATTCCAACGCTGCGTAACGCCAACTGTTTGTCAAATCCAACGGTCGAGGAGGGTGTAGGAGCCAGTCTTCTATGAGTAACCCACCGTTAGAAAACATCCAATAATTGCATACTGGTAATGACGTCATCTCTGTTTTGTGATATTTGCTTGAAATAACCCTAAATTAATGCTCCTCGGAGGCTTGAAAAATCTCTGTCAGGTGATATAAAGCCATCTACTACGCATAGATCTTGATGACAGTTACTTCATTCTGATTGGTTATTAGCGTCACTTATCCCTACTAACTTATGGACCAATCACTGTTGGTGTCAATATGACGCTGTCCTATGATTGGCTAAATTTGGGAAACGTTCACATTTCTATTTTCTGCAATAGGAACCTTAATCAGGCACATAAACGGCTGACGCAAACACGATAAATCCGCAAAGGATATCAGTTTGATCTGACACAATATCGACTGAGATTGATATACTCACGATAAGAAATATATAATATATATATATATAGCATTGACAAAAATTTGACAGCGTATTTTGGTGTCCGTGGCCCGATAAAGTAGTGAAATACACAGTCTCTGGAAGATCCAAGTGAAGAGGTATCAGATAAAATAATAATGATCTTCCTAGCTATTCAGTCTAAGGAGAATAAAGTCACAATAACTAACATGCTGTTTATATATAAATCAGTATTAAACCATAAAAATACCAAGAAAATGGTTTGAGAAAAAGAAAATAACCTCATTGGTTATCGGACACTAATCTCGGATTCTCTAGTTTCATTTTGTGTGTACTCATTTTGGTGTTTCCTTAAAAGAGCGTACATAAGCCGCACGATCAGGCTTTTGTCCGAAAGAATCCGTGAACTCCACCCCGCATGCCTAAATACAGAAACGTTTAGGTCACCCTCCTTAGTGCAGTGGTTTCACATCTAGCTGAAATAAATCACACAGTGAATGTGACCGAGGCAGTCCATCCCCTGTATTGGGTCCTAGGTCGATTATCAAAGCAGGTTCGATGTCGTATGCTGACCACAGCGGAAGCGGTAGGAATTCGTCCGCAAAACAGCCCTCTGTGTTCCAAAAAACACATTGTGCAGGCATTTAAGCTTCACTGTCCCACCACCCACACAACATATTACTACTGGTCCCAGAGATCAAATGAATTTAGGGTTATGTGATCATTAAGAATTCCACATCCCGTTCGAAAACAAAACTAACCCCAGATAACCAATGAGGTTGTTTTCCCTTTCCTAAAACAATTGTTTGGTTGTCATGGTTAAATACTGATTTACAGATAAACATCGTACTATTTATTGTGATGTATTTGGTCTGACAATGAATCACTGAAAACGAAATTGTTCGCCTCTCCTTGTTCTATTTGAACTGTGCTCCGTAGGACCGATCATATAATTTAGTCCTTTCTTTGAATATCAAATGACTGGGTTTTCCAATCAATTCGGCAAATGGTAATAATAATCTGTCTGAAGGAGGTTTACTCCCGGAAAGAAATTCCCGTTGCTTGTAAAGATTTGGTTTGTACAATCTATTTGAAGAGCTCTAATTGTAAACTTTGAACCACGCAGTTATAATAATACTGGTTACTGCCAGTATCAACCAGTTAAACATGCTGTTTTTAATTTTGTCAAGTGTCATCACGTGACTACCGATAGTTTTTCTTTTGAGCTTTCATGCTAAGCAAACTGCGACAATATTTCAATTTCATAGTTGCTGTTCTGAGGCCATCACACCAATTGATAGCATTCCATGGAATTGTGTTCTAAACTATACATCTCAAAACAACAGGAATGAACTTTTCACCTTGATTGCTCATCAATTTACGGTTTTCTCCGGAGTGGTGTATATGGGCATTTATTATCGGTCACCAGCTGAATGTCTTAGGGTCTTCGCGAATGAGGAAATGTATGAATTCATGGTTAGAGTGGGTGTTCGGTCATGCACTGAAATATTTCTAAATGAGTAAGTTATGCGAGATAATTAATAACTTTCCCATTCTTGTCAGTGTTCTCATCTAAACACTACTACGGGATTGTTTTGATATAATGGAAAATATTTGTCCAAGAAGGAGCACTTTGGTCCATTGATTGATTGTTAATTATCTAATCCATTGCAAGAAAACAAAATTCAGTTAATGGAGATTTAATCAGTAGAAAAAACGGAGATCAGTAATCATATTTGATTGCCAACCAAGGAAAGATAATTTATTCAAAAGAACTGCTTCAAGTATTAGTAGAAGAAGCTGTTTCGATGCAAGGGGTAAATTGATTGCAGAATTCGCGTAGGATAGCAATTCGAAACATAACATTTCGATGATCGTTTGCTTTCAGTGATACAAGTTTCTCCTGAAACAGTACACAATGCAACTGAAATAATTCATAATGTGTCGAAACACAAAACACAGAAATCGATAATAAATGAAGCAGTCCAAGAACTCATTTTCAAATGACCGAAATTCTCCTGGAAGGAATAATTTGTTTGTTAATTTTTATTGCAGTTCAAATCTTTGGACGGGCAGTTTTCCACTCAACGACGCACCAATAAAAAAGTGGAACGGGTATACACAGAGGCACCCATGTCTGAATTCGAACCCCTCGCTGACAGATCTTTTCAGACAGCCGTAAATTTAGCCAAGCAACAACCGAGAGGGAAATCATTGGGGGACAATAGATCTGGCAGATTAGCATATTGGTCAACAATGGTTGTTCGCCGGCTACGTTTCTCACATGAACCGGTCTGAAAGTACTTTCATTATCGCGTTGTGTAAGGTTTTCTCAATCCCATTGCCTGTGTGCACGCACTTTCGTTCAACGATATAGTCTGTGCTCATTTGTTTTGCGCTTTGCCCGGTAACCTGCGTATTTATCACCTTTTGCCCTTTACCTCTTACTGACTCAACAGAGTCCCAGCCAGTCCCAGGCTAGCTCTCATTCCTTTCCTCACTGTGTCAGTGTTTGGTAATTTTACTTTCGATTACCAACAATGTTTCGTTTACATTTTTGCCTTCGAACTTGCGCAGTGTGTATACCTCGTTGTTTGTATTTGGCTAATCAGCAGATTACCTTATCTGGTCTCCCGTTTATCGAAAGCTCTGATTTTGTAAATATCCCGCAGAGTTTCATACTTTCCGTTTACTATGCAGCACTACGGTTGTGGCTTCACTGCTAGCACATGTACCGACACTTTTTTTTTGTTTCATTCAATCTGTACCTGAATCAGTTTGTTACTTTCGCTCAGACTACTTGTGCATCCTGTGCGGTACTTGTCTCAATGAACGATGTGTATTGCATGACCTCTACTCTTTGGTTTCTTGAAATGCAGCATTCACTCGATCAGGTGTTTTCCTAGGCTATCAATTGGGAATTCTATGAATGAAAAATCACGTTACAAACATGGTAGTTATCCTGCTAATCACCACAGGAAAGATGAATCCGTTGTACAGAGCAGACTGAGTTCGCTAGTTGGAAAGTAAGGTGTGACATTTAAGCAATTCCTACCTTTCAACCTTGCTACGGATGCGCAGCACTGCTGAGTGAGTGCCATAATTAGGGGGTGAGAAAGATAGATCGACAGATAGGCAAGGCGAAAGGATCTGTAAAACCTTGACGGCAAGAACTGGAAAAAAGAAGCAAATTTATGAAGCGGGCCAAAAATTCCATTATTTTCTTCCGCATTGCTTCCCAAAGGGTTTATTTTGGTGCTACTCCCCAATTTACGAATGGGAGTCCGAATTGTGTTCACTACCAGGGTGCGTCAAACTAGTACATGCACAACTGTTCCATTGAGTGAACTTTCCAACCATATTCATTTCTGAGATGGTGTGGTGAATCAGCACTCGGAGATCATTACAGCGAAGAGGCTACGCGTTTGCATTTCAGGACAATGAACGGTAGATTTTTACTTGCCTGGTGTTGTTGAATACACGGCCTAAAGCTACGTAAATACAAACTATTCTAATTATGCAAATAGAAGCCAACGGACATATTTTATTGTATTGATAAAGGATGCAAATTAATATGATGCAACCATAAATATATATATGCTGGGCAACATCATTTACCTTCTAAGATAAAAATAAACATTACCCTGAAATTCTTAGCTAGTGTATGAGGATAAATCAGTGAATATTCAGTTATTGCTAATTTCTAAATCATTGAAATATACCATACTATCGAACTTTTTATTTGTATTCTGAAGTACAGTGGTTGAAATACAAGGTCATATAAATAGCGACCTGGAGCTTCTGAGTTCGAGCCCCTCACCGATGCCCATGTTCCCATTATCTGCAATTTTACAGACAGCTTTTGTGTGAACACTGCCTTCTTCTCCAAAGTTTATTGTACATTTGTATAAACAATAAAAAGAAAGTAAAAGCATACATTATTATCAATAACGTTATTATGCTGAGTGATTGAAAAACGTAGCGGCGATTCTACCAGTGCCGAGGCACCTGCAAACCAGTTTTGGTGTGCCTCTAATATCTCTCCAGCAAAAATGTGTAATCATTCGTTTGGTGAGGTCCAACTGTTGTGGACTACGATGCCATCACGTGGGGTGACTATAAATGAGAGTAGTGGATTTCGTTGTTTGTTGCCTTCCTCATTTGCATGAGACAACCAGCTACTTGTCACAGGTGGATGAAAAATTATTGGCGATCTGCTTAATATCAACTGGCCTACTGCTTTGTCTAATAGCAAGTATGAAAAATGTCGTTTTTTCATGACTAGCAACTAAACAGTCTGCTCGCCCAATTGTTTTGATCGAGAGGATAAGGTATGCCAAATATCCGACTAGCCTCCATGACAACAATTCGTGCCAGAACAAACACCATAAACCACACATTTTTGATACTGTTTTTATTATTTAACCCATTTAAAAGAGGGGCGGTTTGTTTTTCGGGTATCCTATGAGGATCTACGGACCGGGAACCACGATCGCAATTTTTCTATTGCCGAATTTAAATGGGAAAATGTTATAGTGTCCCGATTATTTTTGCCTCGGCTCGGGGGTGTACAGTTTTACGGGATCATCGATGTGTGCGGACTCATTGATAGACCCACATAGACAGTGAAGTGCACGCAGTG